GCTCTGTTTGTGATTCTGTACCTATTTGCCTGACTTTTGGAACTTGGCTTGTGATCTGACTCCTCACTTCTGCTCATCCCATCTCAGCATCTCCAAGTCCAAGTTCATTTCATTAACTTCAGTTGACGTGGAAACAAGGCTAAGCGACTCAACTATGCACAAAAACATAGGCACTGGGATGCAGAAAAATGGCAGCAGGTGCTCTGACCTGATGAGTCAAAATGACAAATATTTAGCTGTATAGGGTGGCAGTTTGTGGGCGAAGGGCTGGAGAGCGGTACAATAATGACTGTGAAGAATGGTGGAGGATCTTCGCAAGTCTGGAACTGCATTTCTGCAAATAGAGTTGAAGGTTTGGTCAGAATCAATGGGGTCCTCGATGCTGAGAGATACAGGCAGATGTTTCTCCATCATGCCATACCACCAGGGAGGCATGTGATTGGCCCAAAAATGTATTCTGCAGCAGGATAGCGACCCCGAACATGCAGCCAATGTCATTAAAAACTATCTTCAGTGTAAAGAACAACAAGGAGACCTGAAGTGATGGTTTGGCCCCCACAAAGCCCTGATCTCACCATCATGGAGTTTGTCTGGGATTACATGAAGAGACAGAAGGATTGGAGGCAGCCGACATCCACAGAAGATCTGTGCTTAATTCTCCAAGATGTTTGGAACAACCTACCTGCCAAGTTCCTTCAAAAACTGTGTGCAAGTCTACCTAGAAGAAGACAACTTCTATTTCTGAAAGAATTCTTGATTTACAGGATTTATTCACAACTGCCTATAACATTTGCACAGTACTGTGTGTGTATATATATATATAATATATATATATATATATATACCTGTGTGTATATATAGTATGGCCTGTCAGCAAGTGGTTGCGCAGCTGCAGCCATGAATTTATTTTACAGCCAGCGATGAACTGTCTTGTAAAAGTGACCTGGATGGCTCTACAGTCACCTGATCACTTTTACTGTACTAAAAATGGTGTGGTTCCCAGGTACTACTATTCTTTGGGGGAGCCTGGGACTGCAGTACTCAGCTGGGATCCCTTCACATGGAGGAGATGGAGGAATATCCGTTCCTCAATATCTTCTGTGACAAATGAAGCCAGCATTTCCAATTTCAGGGAAGCCGCTGATTAGCATTATCTTTGCTTGATCAGCTGCTTTGGAGGGCAGAGGAGACACTGGGGATCTAATAGACCTTCTTTCTCTCTTCCGAGCTACCCACCATCATCCTTGGAGACTTCAACATCCCTATCAACATTAATAACCTGGCCACATCCCAACTCCTCCACTTAACCTCTTCCTTTGCACTCACACAGTGTACACAGTCCTCCACCCACTCTGACGGGAACACCCTGGACCTTGTTTTCTCTCATCTCTGCAATCCCCACAACCTCACAAACACCCCCTTTCCTCTCTCCGACCACAACCTTATTACCTTCTCATTCTCCTCGTCCTCAAACACCTACCCCTCCAAATGTCAAACTATCATCAGACGAAACCTCCACAACTTGAACCCTGCCCCCTTCCACTCTGCAGCCGACCAACTTTACGACAATATCCATCCCCTGTCCTGCCCTGACCTGGCCACTGCTGCTTATAACAACTCGCTGTCAGCAGCTCTAGACTCGTTAGCGCCTGTAACCACACTAAGCATTAGACCCCGATCGCTTCAACCTTGGCAGACTGACCATACCAAAAATCTCAAACGATGCAGTCGTGCGCTGGAACGACTATGGCGCAAAACCAGATCCCAACAAGCGTTCACATGATACAAATCTGCCTTTCTCACCTACACTTCCTCCCTCCACGCTGCCAAGCAAGCCTACTTTGTGACCCTCATCAATACCCTCTCCTCCAGCCCTCGTCGGTTCTTCTCTACTTTTAACTCCCTACTCTCTCCGCCCCCACCTCCACCCAGTACCTCACTCACCGCCCACGAGATTACCAACCACTTCAAAAACAAGATCGACGCAATTCGTAGGGACATCGCCACTGCTCAGACTTCCACCCCACCTAGCATCCCTCACACGAAAACCGCCTCAACACCCCTCTCCTCCGACCTTGCCACTGTCCAGGCCTCCACCCCACCTAACATTCCTCACTCTAAAACCCCCTCAACACTCCACTCCTTCGACCCTGCTACCAATGAAGAGGTCACTAAGGTCTTCTCTGAAGCCCGCCTCACCACCTGCCCCCTTGACCCTGTCCCCACACAACTCCTATGATCGCCCTCCTCCTCCATCCTACGCTCCCTCACTCACATCTTTAATCTCTCCCTCTCTACTGGCACATTCCCCTCCCCCCTGAAGCACGTGCACATCACTCCCATACTTAAGAAACCCTCCCTGGATCCCACCGACCTAAATAACCTTAGACCCATCTCCCTGCTGCCATTTACATCCAAACTCCTTGAACGCTTAGTCTATAATCGCCTGAGTTCCCACCTCACCGACAATAACCTCCTTAATCCCCTACAGTCTGGCTTCCGTCCCCTACACTCCACCGAAACCGCCCTACTCAAACTCACCAACGACCTACTAACCGCCAAAGCTAATGGCCACTATTCAGTGCTCATACTCCTCGACCTCTCCGCGGCTTTCGACACAGTTGACCACCCCCTCCTCAATAAACTACACTCTTTTGGCCTCAGAGACTCCGCTCTCTCCTGGCTCTCCTCCTATCTATCACAGCGCTCCTTCAGTGTTACCTATAACGCTGCCACCTCCCCCTCTCTGTTGGGGTCCCTCAAGGTTCTATCCTCGGGCCCCTTCTCTTCTCCATCTACACGTCCTCCCTTGGCCAACTGATACACTCTCACGGCTTCAACTACCATCTCTATGCCGATGACACGCAAATCTATCTCTCTACCCCTCGCCTTACCCTTTCAGTCTCCACCCGAATCACTAGCCTACTGAACGATATATCGGATTGGATGTCACTCCACTTCCTCAAATTAAACCTTTCCAAAACCGAGCTCCTAGTTTTCCCCCCAAGCCCGCTCCCCTCCCCCCCCAACTTCTCCATCACAACCAACAATGCCACCATCAGTCCCACCCCGCATGCCAGAGTACTAGGTGTCATCCTAGACTCCAATCTGTCTTTCCAGCCCCAGATCCAATCACTGACAAACTCAAGTAGACTCCACCTCCGCAACATCTCCAAAATACGTCCGTTCCTAACCCCAGAAACTACTAAGCAACTCATTCACTCCCTTATCATATCACGACTTGACTACTGTAACTCCCTCCTCACCGGCTTACCTCGCCACAGGCTATCCCCGCTTCAGTGTATCCTGAATACTGTGGCCAGACTCATCCACCTTAATAACCGCTCCGTATCCGCCACCCCCCCCTCTGCCAATCCCTCCACTGGCTCCTGATTGCCCAACATTTAAAATTCAAACTACTAACATTGACATACAAAGCTGTTCATAACACTGCCCCAAACTACATCACCGACCTGATATCCTTATATCACCCAAAACGTACTCTCCGCTCCTCACAAGACCTCCTACTCTCTAGTTCCCTGGTCTCCTCCTCCCATGCCCATCTCCAGGACTTCTCCAGGGCTTCCCCCATCCTCTGGAACTCCCTACTGCAATCCATCAGACTATCACCTACTCTCCTCTCCTTTAGGCGCTTCCTGAAAACCCATCTCTTCAGGGAAGCCTATCCCGCCGATCTCCTCCACTCTTCCTACCACTCCATCCCCCACAGCTATTTCCTTCTGTACCACTATCCCCTCCCTCCTAGATTGTAAGCTCCAAGGAGCAGGGCCCTCTAACCCCTCGTGTATCGAATTGTATTGTTACCGTACTGTCTTGTGCACTGTCTCCCATTGTAATGTACAGCGCTGAGCAAACTATTGGCGCTATATAAATACTGTATAATAATAATAATGTCGCATTCAGAGTACCTTTCACTGCCCAAAGTTGTCACATAGGGGCAATTCACCATAAATGCGAGGTATCGCTGTGAACGTTAGAGTAAGAACAATAATTCTGGGGCCATCATTCACAAGTCTAGACATGTTTGGTATCTTTATATGCAACGTGACTTCATTACTTATAATTAATTTAATATATTTTTTCCAGAAAAGCAGCCAAGGCCTCTGCTTTTCCTCTAATTAACATACAATGGAGAGGCATAGATTCTAAATCTTTAACACTTTGTTAGGACTGCCAGTGTCCAAATATAGTTTCCAACTGATGATGATATCTGCCAGCACAGTACAGACAGGGTGAATTAAAACAAACAGCTCCCCAGCCCAAAGAATAGCAAGTAGGATTTTTTAGTACAGCAGTTACAGTATCAGGAAAGAGCTTTGTAAAAAGGTAACCAGCAATTTTTAAATATATTTATTTATAAGTCATGTTAATAAATGTAAAGTAGGTGCTAAAACAATTTGACTGCAAAAGTAGGAATAGACTTTAAAATATGCCAAGCAGCCATTGTTGCTAAGAGGCAGTGGGGAATCTGCAGCAGTGAAATGCATCATAGGATGAAAATGTAAAAAAGGAATTCTCCTGGATTTTTTCTTCTTCTGTCCTCTTTTTAAACTGGTTTGCGCTGTTTTCATTTTTTGTATTTTGATGGGTTTTTTTTCATCTTTTGAGCAGCAGAATTTTTTTTGATTGTTTGTTATTTCTTTAGCACAGGTTATTTCACATTTTTTTACACTTCTGCGTTTGGCAATCCGATGGACGTGTCTGGGTTTGGCGGTTGCCAGGAGAACGGCACTTGCCTGACTGCATTGTGCCAAGTGTAAAGTTTGGTGGAGGGGGTATTATGGTGTGCGGTTGTTTTTCAGGGGTTGGGCTTGGCCCCCTAGTTCCAGTGAAGGAACTAGGAGGACAATTTCATGCTCACAACTTTGTGGGAAGAGTTTGGGGATGGCCCCTTCCTGTTCCAACATGACTGCGCACCAGTGCACAAAGCTTGGTCCCTAAAGACATGGAAGAGCCAGTTTGGGGTGGAGGCAGGGGCGGACTGAAAACTCATGGGGCCCCTGTGTCCTCGCCCACACTCAAATCACACCCAAAAAAGCCTATGAAAGGTACCAGGGGCATCTCATGGGGCCCCCTACTGACCCCGGGCCCTCGGGCAGTGCACGAGTTCCCAGATGGTCAGTCCGCCCCTGGGTGGAGGAACTTGACTGGCCTGCACAGAGTCCTGACCTCAACCCCATAGAACACTTTTGGGATAAATTAGAGAGGAGACTGTGAGCCAGGCCTTCACGTCCGACATCAGTGCCTGACCTCACAAATGTGCCTCTGGAAGAATGGTCAAACCTTCCCATAGACACCCTCCTAAACCTTGTGGACGACCTTCCCAGAATTGTTGAAGCTGTTATAGCTGCAAAGGGTGGGGCCAACTCAATATTGAACCCTACGGACTAAGACTAGGATGCAATTATAGTCCATGTACATGGGAAAGGCAGGCCGACCAATACTATTGGCAATATAGTGTGTATATATATATATATATATATATATATATTTTATAATTATATATAATTAGTAAGGGCTTATATATTTAAAGCTGAGCCCCAGGCAAGAAATATTATCAGGGATCCGGGTGTGACCAGAAATGTGTGGACTGACACAGGGAAGTAGCAGGCTTCAGGAACACAGGCGTAGTCAGGGCTGGAGAGGTGGAATGGTCAGGCGGGCCATAAGGTACTGTCAGGCACCGCCTGGCGGGATCTCTAGTGACCCACAGAACAGGATTCCCCAAGGCGCGGAGTCTAAGCCCCAGTCTGCCTTTTCACCAGAGCCCCTGATGGTGGGGATGGACTTGGTGCAGGACTGAGACCAGGTCGCGGCCCCTGAGTGTACCCAACTGTGGTAGAGGGGTCCGCCGAGAGTATGTACTGGGGGAAAGCCTGATGTGAAGGGGCTGGCAGGTTTGGACAGTAGTGACTGGATCTGTGCGGGATGGATCGATCGTCTGGGTAGCGTCAGGCAGGCCAGGTCAGCAACGTGCGGGCAGTGAGGTACCGGAGGAGCAGGCAGAGAATAGTCAGGGTCACAAGCCGGGTTCAGTAACTCACGGGCAGCGCGGTACAGAGGATCAGGCAGAAGGATGGTCAGGCAAGCCAGGGGTTCAACAGGAGATGGTCAGCAGAGGTCAGGATCAAAGCAGGGTCAGCAACTAGGCAGATAGGCAGAAACACAGGATACCAGGTACAGGGGCTCATGGGAAACATACACCAAGGCACTGACTGCAGGTCTGGCCATTCCTTAAATACACCTCCTGCAATCAGCCCCAGGTGTTGGCTGATTGCAGGAGTGAGCTTCTGTCTGCTGAGAGCACCCGCTGGTCAGCCTTGGTACTGCAGCCCAAACGGCAGGTGAGTCCCACACCAGTGCTGAGTCCATTCCTGACAGTACCCCCTCCTCAAGGAGCAGCCTCAGGACGCTCCAAACAGTCCTTAGTGGGCAAAATGTTCCACCGCCCGGGTCAGGTAACTGCCAGGTAACTGTCAACTGGCTGGCTGGGTTTCCTGCTGGCAGACTTCTCTTTATGAAGGGGAACCCAGGAAGGCAGGTTGCTGGACACAGGATCTCCAGGAGCAGGCTGGGAATCAGTTATTGGCCATTTTAGCTGGACATCAGGGGCTGGCACATCAGGCTGCGCAGCGGACAGAGGCACATCAGGCTGCACAGCGGGCAGAGGCACGTCAGGCTGGGCAGCGGGCAGAGGCACGTCAGGCTGGGCAGCGGGCAGAGGCACATCAGGCTGGGCTGCGGGCAGAGGGACATCAGGCTGGGCAGCGGGCAGAGGCACGACAACGGGCACCAAGTCATCTGGCACGACAGCGGGCACCGAGTCACCAAGCTCGACAGCGGGCACCGAGTCATCTAGCACGACAGCGGGCACCGGGTAACCGGGCAAGTCAGCAGGCACTGAGTCATCAGGCACGTCAGCGGGCACCGAGCCATCTTGCAGAACCGCGGGCACCGGGTCACCAAGCTCGACATCGGGCACCGAGTCATCTAGCACGACAGCGGGCACCGAGTCATCTGGCACGACAGCGGGCACCGAGTCACCGGGCAAGTCAGCGGGCACCGAGTCATTGGCATGTCAGCAGGCACCGAGCCATCTAGCAGAACCGCGGGCACCGGGTCACCAAGCTCAACAGCGGGCACCGAGCCATCTGGCACGACAGCGGGCACCAAGTCATCTGGCACGACAGCGGGCACCAAGTCATCTGGCACGACAATGGGCACCAAGTCATCTGGCACAAGCGGGCACCAAGTCATCTAGCACGACAGCGGGCACCGAGTCACCGGGCAAGTCAGCGGGCACTGAGTCATCGAGCACGTCAGCGGGCACCGAGCCATCTAGCAGAACCGCGGGCACCGGGTCACCAAGCTCGACAGCGGGCACCGAGTCATCTGGCTGAACAACGGAAGGCGGGTTCTAAGACGGCAGGCTGGCCGATTTGGATACTGGCAGGATGGTACTGGTTGGAAAGAATTTTCGCCTTTTCCTGGTCTTAGTTTCTGGAGCACTGTAAGTAAACGCAGGTCTGTAAACGGATAGAGCAGCTGAAGGCAGAGAAGAGCTGGGGGATGGAACAAAGGAGGGAGCAGTTGCTACAGAGGACTTCTTTACAGGGTTAAAGGCAGGATAGGTGCAGCGAGTGGGAACAGGGGACTGACATGTGGTAGCTAGCAGGGTATACTGGGCTGTCATTGGGGGTGCTGTCGGGAGTGCAGGAAGAGAGCTTTGAGCAGAGGAATGATGAGAAGCAGGACTGGTTTGTTGCAAGCTGACTGAGGCTGGGTGTAACAAGTCTGCCCAGGACTGTAGTATGGGTTGAACACAACTCCGCTTACACGTAGCCTGTCTGACCAAAGACTGCACTGCGTCTATACACTCCACTAGCACATGTGATGGACAAGCTGCATAATGCTCATGGAAGCAATCTGGATCCTCCTCTAACAACCATACCAGCGATTCCACTTGATCTGCACTGAATGGGGGAAAAAAGTCATCCCTGCTTTCAGGGGTACTAGCTGAAGCCAACTCCACACAAGCCTGAATTAATGGTTGCACCTCAGAGAACTCTGTGCCCAAATCTACCAGGGAATGCGTGACCCCTATACATTCTAGCAGCTGATCCCTGGTATACTCCTGCAGAGTCTCATAGGCATATTCTTTGTCATCAAAGACTAGCAGACACAAGTATATAACCTCCTCCGGATGCATCCTTCACAACAATAAGCCAAGATGGCTTCCCTGTGCAGCCACTTCTGGTCAGGAATGACCTTGGTGTAATGTCAGGGATCCGGGTGTGACCAGAAATGTGTGGACTGACACAGGGAAGTAGCAGGCTTCAGGAACACAGGCGTAGTCAGGGCTGGAGAGGTGGAATGGTCAGGTGTCAGGCACCGCCCGGCGGGATCTCTAGTGACCCACAGAACAGGATTCCCCAGGGCGCGGAGTCTAAGCCCCAGTCTGCCTTTTCACCAGAGCCTCTGATGGTGGGGATGGACTTGGGCGCAGGACTGAGACCAGGTCGCGGCCCCTGAGTGTACCCAACTGTGGTAGAGGGGTTTGCCGAGGGTATGTACCAGGGGAAAGCCTGATGTGAAGGGGCTGGCAGGTTTGGACAGTAGTGACTGGATCCGTGTGGGGATGGATCGATCGTCTGGGTAGTGTCAGGCGTAGTCAGGCAGGCAGGCCAGGTCAGCAACGTGCGGGCAGTGAGGTACCGGAGGAGCAGGCAGAGAATAGTCAGGGTCACAAGCCGGGTTCAGTAACTCACGGGCAGAGCGGTACAGAGGATCAGGCAGAAGGATGGTCAGGCAAGCCAGGGGTTCAACAGGAGATGGTCAGCAGAGGTCAGGATCAAAGCAGGGTCAGCAACTAGGCAGATAGGCAGAAACACAGGATACCAGGTACAGGGGCCAGGTATACACCAAGGCACTGACTGCAGGTCTGGCCATTCCTTAAATACACCTCCTGCAATCAGCCCCAGGTGTTGGCTGATTGCAGGAGTGAGTTTCTGGCTGCTGAGAGCACCCGCTGGTCAGCCCTTGTACTGCAGCCCACACGGCAGGTGAGTCCCACCACCAGTGCTGAGTCCATTCCTGACAAATATTCCATATCACATAATTAAATGTTTTGTTTTTTTTTTTAATACAAGCAATGTCGGTACCTGAAATTTGGCTTAGTATCAGCCTCTTTTAATCCCTGTACAACAGAGCTCAGAATGGGAGAAGGAGAAGCAGCACTAGTAGCCCATCAGCAGCGCTGCAGTGCAAAAGAGCATGCTGATAGAGGGAAAAAGCAAAGTGAATAGAGATGAGTTTATCGGTGTGCTGCTTCACCTTTCACTATCCAGTCTCTAATTAGGGGGTGAGATCGGGGGGTGGCTAAGAACTTCAGCAGCAGAAAAAAATCCAGACAGGGCTCTGCTATGCTACATAGCTGTATCAATTTCATGATTGGTTGGACAGAAATACAAATCCTTTGGCAGACAAAACAGCTCCTTATATGTGTTTCATAGGCGTATTCAGCTGTTTGACTGGAGTTCAGCTTTATCCATCCCTTAAATCCCTAATAATACATTTCCTGTTAATGAAGTCACGCAGTGTTGGTTGACAAGCAAGGCATAGATTCCAAAATAAAAAAAAGGTATAAATAAGTCTAGGGCCAACTTGCTGTATGGTCTATAGAGGCGTGTTCAAAACATTACTATCAGCAAGAAGCAGATTAGTGACCCTCATGGCAAACCCATGACAAATCGTTGATATGTGGTAGTGGTAGGCTGATGTCTGTGTCCTGGGGAAAATATGAGAACAGCACAAAAATCCCGTAAGGGCTATAAATAATGTCTCATCGAGTTTCTCAGTAAGATTCCCCAAGTGCCACACTAAACATCATGTTCCTTTCCAAGATCATAAATCTGTTGTCATGACAAACTTTAGGTTCCATTCCAAGGCACGAGCTATAGCATCAATTGACTGTTTCATAAAGGATTTTACATTTAAAAGGAATGATATATAAAGTATAAATAATTCATATACAAATATA